AGAAATTCTGGTAGGAAAAATAACTGGAAAAATGATTGAATAGTGCAATCTCTTTGGATCCAAACATGTGAAGAGGGCGACAACATAAATCAAAATATCAGATATAAAATGGGCAGTTTTTAATCAGGCACTCCTAATTTGTAAGGAAGGAGTACATTTTGTCCTTTATGACCTGGTCATAAGTTCCGCATGGAATAATTGGTAATATTCTACCTGGTATATAATGAGGTAACAATTAGACCACTGAAACTGACTAATTGATCCAAATTAGTTTCACAGGATTTCATCATCAGGTCATTACACCACCAGGGGTTGATCAAATAAACCTTCCATCAATTACAGCAAGAACCAAAAGGATTTGCTGTTCTTCAATATATTGGACAGAGGTTGCGTCCAGTGACAACCATGTTATGTTACTTGACATTAATGGAGCTAGAGTATTAACATTCGTACAATGTAAGTGATGGTGCACATCCACACATTTAAGTGAGTTACATAAAATTATTAATTATTTAAAATGGTATAAATATAAATGCTCACAAACTCTGCCAATCATGTTTTGTTAATATTGCATGAACTCTACTTATATTCTTAATATAACCTAATTTTAAGAATCACACTGGCCAGCAAGTTAATGAAGCTTAGAAATCATGAGCTGTACTTGACAGAGACGAATATGGATCTACATGACTTTTAATTCAATCCAATTTGTTTCACAACATTGATGATAAAACATTGTGAAAATGAAATGACAAACAGTAATTATTGCAGACGTTATAATTAGTTACACTAACAGTTTCAGACAGGCCATACATACTAAATACATCAAGACAGCATCAGTGCAAGTGGCATTCAAATGTCCTATCAAAAATTACTTTTTCTATTAAAGTGTTTGACACTTGGTAAGGGTTTACAAAATAGCAATAATTAATACAATAGGAATCTTGAGAGATTTGAGAAAAAAATGAACTATTCCACTTACTGCAATAAGCATACTTTCTGATTTAATACAGGCTTTGTGTTATATTTTCAGCCCATACATATGTGTTTTTTTCAGACAGTATTTAAAAATCTTAATCTATAGGGAATTATGCTGAACACAATGTGAATGTTGACTTTAGGGAAAACTCAGAACAATTCATCTTACATACTGCTCTGAATTAAAATACACAATACCTGATATAAGCATAGAAAGGTTTGAATCAGTGCAATCTAATATCTCCATATTTGAAGATGATCAATTCATGGCAAGATCTCCTCCACTGTCTGTAGATACAATTGAACAACAATACTGGCTTTGTATAAAGAGTCATTATATTTTAACCTAAGACATTTTCAGCTCACAGCTTCTGTTGACACTAATGCACATCAGTGTCAGCAATACAATATTGAAGATGCATTCTACCAGTTCCACCCCCTCAACACATTTGGCTGTTAATAAACGTAGATCAAACACTTTTGAGAATACTGTAAATTGGGAAACTCATCAAATTAATTTTCCTATATTAATGTTGATCAAATTCACAACACACAGCAGATAGTCTGTTTTAAAAATTACTGCTTTATTGCACAGATCTTAAGGTAGTAATAAACCAGAAATATAATCCACATGGTACTGCTATTCATCACTCACAGTAATAAATCAGTCATACAGCACTACAGTCCTCAAAGTCCGATGTTGTCTTCCATGCAGCATTTGTACCTTTCTGATGCACAACTTACATTCTGCCAAAGAATTGTGAAATCTACTGTTTACTAAGATTCTGGTGACGTTTGTGCTCCTGTAAAAGCTATAACTTTTGTTTTTACAGCCCTCTTGAAACTCCAATTATGGTCCTAGTATTGGTAACAAAAGCTCCAGCCCACAGTCTATTTCCAGATTCACACAATTCACTTCGACTGAAAACACTGGCAGCTTTGGGTGAATGAAATTTCCCGATTTACAGTATTTATTCAGACTTTTACTTCTTTTGCTGTTATTATGAACATACTGTATTTTTATATTTCAAACACTGATGTTTCTTTGATACTGCAGACTATAAATTCATGCAATTTAAATACTATTGTTGCATTTGAAAACAATCTGGTAAATTGACTACATTGTTATCAAATAGATAGGGCATGGGGGGGAGGGCAGGAAGTGGGGGTATGAAGTCAATTGTTCATCATATCATTCAAAAAACCTATGTTGATCCAAACATATCAAAACAGACATACTGGATTGTACAGTACCCATACAAACTGAACGTCGTAGTTGTACTGTAAGAATGCAAGGGATTCAAAATCAACAGCATTGTACTGTAGATGAGGAGGGGACCAATTACTCTTATTGTATACAACAATTTGTTATGGATATGTGCTGAACATGGTTCAGAATATCAAATATGTCTATATGCACAATGCTCTGTATAAAGCATTCATACCCAAAGTCTACTTAGTGTGACACATAGTGCCACACAAGTAGTGAAGAGGTTATCTTATTAGAGGTGTTTGGACATGGTTTCAGGAATCATTTTACCAAGTTCCCTGAAATTTGCCATTATTCTGTTTAACGGTTAAATGAATCGCATGCAATACACAGAGATGTCCTTTACTAAATATCCTTGACTAAATATCCTTTACTAATAAGGAAGTTTTTAATCAGTTTTTGGTCAGAATATTAGATGGCTTGATGTATGGAATTAAGGCATTCCACATTAGGGTGAGGAGGGAAAAAGGAGAGATAAGTGATGGCAAAAGAATAGCCATTACCAATTCATCCCATTGCAATATTCTCTTCTGCCACTCGTCCAATGTTACAAGTGATATTGATGGTTCTGAAGCATACAATACAGCTAAACCTGGAAGTTAAACAACATGGTAGTGAGTGTCTTACAAGGGTCAAAATTATTGGGACTTAAAAAAAGCTAATTTATTTTTATTCTTATAAACTGCAAACTATTGTCCATATGAAAGTGCTACTATGTTTTGTCTGTTAAATTATTATAAGCTTACATTGTATTTTTGCTAGATTTTTCTTACTATTACAAATGGTCACATTTTGCTGAATCCTTGACAGATTTATCCACAGGTCACTTCAATTCTTCAGCATGCAACTGATAGGAAATGTTACCAAGGTAGAATTTGGATTAAACTTCCTCCCCGAGTGAGACATTCAACCTTGCATCTTGGTTGTAGATTGTTACAACTCACCAGTGCAACTGACAGATTCAAAAATCAGTTAAGAGTTGTGACTCAAACCCATATATTTTTGTCAATTCTTTTTCATCCTCTCCTGAAGGTTCAGGTGTATGGTTGTATTTGTGCCTTCTGATGGTTGTATGAGACCCGAGTGGCCATTCTTTATGTGAGTCTTGACACTGTCACACACTATTCAACTCTTAAGGGACATCACGGCTGAGCCCACTCCCACGTGGGTCACTGAACAGTGAACGGGAAGGCCATCTTTCTCCTCCCTATACCATGGGCACCGCTGGGGCAAACTGCAACACCTATGTTGCTGCCCTGCTCCTTGAACTAACTCAGGACACATCAAGATTATCTACCAACCATTGAGGGAATTCAGAAATTCAGGTTCAGAAAGCAATTATAGTAATTTAAAAAAACATCACAATATGTTATTGATGATTATTTCTATTAAACTTTTGATGTACTATTTTATATACATAAGAGATAAGCCTATATTTTCAGGGTCTATCGTATACTGATTGTAAAAAAAAAAGTAAAACTTTGGCTATTTGTAGCTTTCAACATACAGTGTGAGATAGGCCTCATAGATTTATGCTATCCACAGGAGGTATTTTGTTCAAATTGCATGATTGCGAATTAGTGAAATGGATAATGCAAAATTTCTGTAAATTGAACTGTGTAAATGATTAATTTCAAGGATATGGTAAAATGTTGCCCAAAATGGCCCCTGGTCATAGTTACACAAGATTGTGAATTTACGGTATTATTAAATATAAATTTAAAACAGTACTGTAGATTATTTTAAAGATACAATTTGTATCAACAATGAAAGGTCATTTCTGGCCATTAAGGACTTGAAGCTGCAATGTAGTCACAGCTAAACTGAATGCATATTAAAGAACTCCCTGGAGGAATGAATATGACACTGCAGCTGGCAAATCTCACTAAAAAAACACCAGAAACAACCCTTACTGAAACAAAACAGGCATTTTGTCTGTTTTCAACTTTTAAAAAATGTGGCAAGATAAATCAGGCCTGTCATAATATGCATTAATGCTTGAATTTGCATTAATAGCATCAATACAGGTGTAAAATATATTCAAAATGTTTAAACAGTGGTTTAATTAAAAGGATGCTTTTTAGTGCAGCCTCAACATGTAATGGAACACTTTTCACATCTTCATACAAAAAAAATCAACTGATCTCCAGTTAAACTTAGCTATGAATTGCTGTCAGCTGAAGGTCAGGTGATATCATGACTACACTATCCAATCAGTGGTGATGTGCACGGAGACAACCAGAAAGTTGCAATTGTACCTCCTTTTACCACCAATTTTGTTCCAAAACACTGAAAAGTGCCAAAAGCCACTCAATATTGTTTTCAGAGCAGGTTATCAGACTTTCAACTAGTAGATTTTACTATAAAGCTGCAATATATTACGGAAATCGGAAATTAAGATTTAAAATATTAAAATAATTTCAGACAATTTTTAAGCCAAATATAAAAGTTAAAACAATACTACAGATCCCCCTTCTCTGGAAAAACCTACCTGCTCTACCTAATGTGCATAATTCTCCTCAGTCTCAACTGGTGAACCTTTGTACGTAAAAAACACAGTACTACTAACAGCACTAGTGGCAACTCTACACACGTTCTTGTGGGATCTATTAACAAAGGACATCATTAAGAACTGAATTTTTAAAAAAGGTGCTTCAACATATAAATTCTCAGAACTCTAAAATCATAATTTAAAAAAAATGCTTCCTATAGTACACTGCAGCTGTTTTTTAAAAAAATTCAACACTGATAACACTTTCAAGTTAAAAACACAAAATAAATTCCCCTTTGCTACAGAGCATTTCATTACACGTTACTCTTCTAGATGATCTTCTTGCTGTGAAGGATCTCAGAAATGCTATTGTAGCAAACGATACCAGCGATCAGCTGAGAAATAAGAATGACACCAGGCTGACGCATTTCATGTCAATAACCCAATTTTGACTTTTCTACTAAAATAGCCGCGGCAAGTTGCTGGGCATCGATGGTGTGGGGATTCCTTTTCATTACCATCCGTACAAGATCAGCGGGAAATATGTTGCACAAATTTATGAAAACCTGGTCGCGGGCTTCTTGGAACCTTTGCTGATTTGATGGTTCAGGAGGGAGACCGCTCCATGGCATCCTCCAGGTCTGCTCCCTTTTTTCAGGTAGGCTTTGGAATGTAAATTGATCATAACATGGCTGAGTGGGGTTGTTAGGTAATGAATATCCTGGTGGATAACCGTAAGCATCCATCCCATAACCATGCCAGTCCCAGTTAAATCTTTCTTGACTTACATAAGGTTTCCTCGGTCTCATTGGCATATTTTCATACAACCGAGAGTCTGAGAAGCTTTCTATCCTCGTTGTTCCCAGTGCCCTTGCCATGTGCATATTCTGTGGATGTTGGGTGTTCTGTGGTGCAGGATATTCACCAGGACAGCTGGAGCGAGCTCCAACTACTGGATGCTGCAAATGTGAAGCTATGTACGAGACTGGGGTTTTGTGTTGTGGTTTTTGTTCTTCATGACTATAACTCTGCACTCTTGTTAGACTATCATGATAACCCTGGATAAAAGGCTGATGTCGGGTGTGAAACTGGTGAGACTTGAGGTTTTCCTCGAGCATTGTATCTGGAGAACTTGGGTAAGCTCGTTCATTGTACCCAACATAGGAATCACTGCTACCACAACTTATACTCCCTTCACTGCTACAATCAGAACCCATATGGTTCATTCTGTATTCCTTATCTATAGCGAACCGGTCAGGACTTTGTGTACTAGAAAAACTAAGATTAGAGTACGCATTGACCATGGAGTAATAGTCTACATCAACTGGAGATTCACATTTTGGGTGCTGGCTGCTGTAGGACATATGTGCTCCATGGTTGTTGGTTGACATAACAGGTGCATATGGTGTTGGAATCCCCTGTTCTTGTGGAAGAAAGTGCATTCCAGAACTAGATGCCCCACCACCATACTTTGCAGCTGAGGGATTTGATGCACCAACGAGGGAAGGCACAGACCTAGTTTCCAATCTGGTTTTATTGGAAAGTTTCTCTTCGACCTCATTATAAAGAGGAGTTCGTATACTTGGGTCCGACTGTCTTTTAGGAGCTGTACGTTTGACGTCAGACATGCCCTCAGTCTTCGTATTAGTTGGAACACTGTTGCTCTTCACTAAGCCGCCTTCATTAGTGGTTTTAGTTGTCGAGTTCTTTGCGATGGCACGCAGCTCATCAGCCACAGAACGCTGTGGCTGTGTACCCCGTTCTGGATGGTAATATTTACATTTATGGCCATACGTGCACTTCTTTCCTGTCAAAACACAAGGTTTAAGGTTATTTCAGAAGCATATGAAGAAAAATAATTAAAACATTCAATAGAAAAGAAATAGCAATACTTTAGTGTGAAACGAATTGCAACAATGAAGCTTGAGGAGTTCATTTCAGTAAGTAACTCCCGAGTAATCACTCATGGGAACAGCTTAACTTTTTGTCTGGCAGAGGGAGGGCATGCATATTCTACTTAAGTTAAAGCAAACACTACACATTTGGATGGAAATCACCAATGTTCCAGTACAGATTGGGGAAGCTATTCTTGCTAAAGAGATAGATGGCACATGTCCTTGTTGAAGGCTTATTTTTATAATAAATATACATTCAATCATTACTGAAAACCTCCAGATTGAGTAAATAGTTAGCCATTTCACCACAACAATAAAACTCTTTACCTCAGGATATTTTTGCTGAAAGCTATTACTGATGGTATCTCTCTCTCTCTTCCCCCCCTCCCCCACCTTCCCATCTCTGGTGCTCTTTAGTCAACATATTTAACTTCACATTTTTGAAAAATATATTCTGATTTACTGAGTGTGGCTTAATACACTACATTTAAAACAACAACAAATTACATTTGTAAAACGCTTTTCACATTGTGAGGACGTCACAAGGTGCTATATTCAAAACTAGTTGCAATGCATTCATTGCAACTTCTAGTGTGGATTTCACAATTTTGAGAACAGCAAAAGATTTTGAAACCCTTCTAAAAATCTACAACATTGATCATACATCTACTGCACCTCACCCACCCCATCTCCTACTCTGCTCAGGCTCCCAATTTGACCTTTGTGAAATACTTGGAGGCATTTAATTTGTGAAAGATATTAAGATAGCCCACTGACTTTCCAAAGCCGAAAGTTGGCAAAGCCCAAAAACGGCCTGTGCTTCACTTTCTGCCTCCTTCATTGGATCTTTCATTTCCTTTTCTTTGCCAAAAAAACAGGCAAACCAATCTGTGATTGCAAATCATAGCCCATAATCACAAGCAGCATTTGATTTGGGTGACTGAAAAGTCCAACAAAAGGTCAGAATACTGATGACTTTCAGTATTCAAAAGTTGGCACTGTTTTAAATCTCCGAATCATGAATTGGAACCCTGAATTTGTAATTAATGCAATGCATTTTACTTGCAAATATTTCATCTTATGCCCAATGGCAAAGATATCCATCTTATTATAAATCATGTTCTGGTAGTATATGCATTGACTTAGAACCCGTTATGTTATCTAAAGTATCACTGCAGTTGAATCACTGATGTAGTATAAATTGTAGTTGTGTAAAAATAAAACAGGGTTTTCATTGTATTTCTGACACTTCCCTGTCTAACTCCTCTGGACCCCTTCCCTCTGGCTTCTAAATGTTTCTGACTGAAAACAGCTATCACAAATTCGGTTTATCCTAAGGCCCCATTCTCTCATTCCAATGCTAATAATGTGATCCAACCTCCCAATAAGAGTGGTGCTAACATTATAACGTGCATGGACCCACAACTGGCAGAGGTCAAACAACTATCTGAATCGTTCCATTTCCAGCAATCTTCCAGAAAACATTCCATCCCTCTCAGTTCTGCCAACTCTGTCTTATCTCGTTTGATGATTCTATTCTGTGTACTATAGCTTCTGAAATTAGCTTCTTTCTTCCTTCGCTAAGTGTTTTCCTCAACTGTGTGGCATCCATTAAGAAACTTCTCTGCCTCCACTCTCACTCCTCCTCTTACAATGACAGAATCTCTCTTGCTCTAACTTTCCATCCTGTAGCCACAACATTGGTTTGATCAGCTTCTGCTATTCTGAAATACAATGCTAGAATCAGTTGAATCTTTCCTTTTTCTGATCCTTCTTGAACACCTCCACCACCTCAGGAACTACAGCACAGCAGAGGAGAAAACCTTTATTTCTTGTCTCACTATTGTCAACGTTCCCAAATACTCTTTCTGTAAAACCATGTATTACTCCTCCAATCTGGTATACTTTATTTCTTGCTCATTATACAATTTCCTCCATATTAATGAGGCACATCCACTGCTTTTCAAACTTTTCAGGACTATAAGCAAGCATATTCCTCAGCTCCATGAACCACTTGAATTCCAATCTTCTATCCTCATTCTTACATTGGCCGTCCAACCAAGCTCAATGCAAACTTCAGCAATACAATCTCATCTTCCTTTTGGGCGCTCTTCAGCCCACGATCTAATGATTCCCCAACGTCATCTTTCTGTCATCATCAATCGCCCTCATGTTGTTATTGGGGCCTTTGTCTTGCTAACGCCAAAATATTAGATTCCGGGGGCAAACTAGCTGCTCTGTTTGCCTACATAATATTCACTTCATGTCTAATTGAATGTCATCCTGTAAAGGGCTTCAAGAGATTTATTTTACATAACAGTGTTATATAAATATTTTGTTGAAATTACCTTTCTAGTATATACACGATTTGACTGCCTTTCAATTAGTCAGTGACCCCTTAGTTACTGTTTTATAAGTAAAATTTGCAGAGTCCCTTCATTGTATAAAGAAGCTTTTCTCTCTCTCTCTCTCTCTATCCATCTTTCATTCTCTCTTTCGTCATTTAACCCCCTTCAGTCCTGTACCTAAGAAGGAACCCAGTTTAGTCAATTGGCAGATCACTTTCCGGGGATAATAATCCCTCCAAAAAAATAATAATTTGGTCACTCAATCCATAACTCTTTGTGGGACACTGATATGTGCAATTGGCTCCCATGTTTCACCCACAAAATACATAGCCCCTATACTTTACAGTATATTTGTGGAGTCCTGTACCTCAGTGGTTAGAGCACTCGCCTCGCAAGCGAGAGGACCCGAGTTTAATTCCCGGGCAGGGCAAAACATTGTGCAAGTTTCCTTAGTCCACACTCCTCTGTTCACCTAGCAATAAGTGGGAACCCGGTTGGTAGTCAACTGGTTGATTGCTTTTCCGGGGTAATAATCCCTTCAAAATTAAATAAAAAATAATATGGCCACTCAATTCGTGCTGTTTGTGGGACACTGCTGTGCACAATTTGCTGCCATGTTTCACCCACAAAATATACAGTCAATTCACTTTACACGATATTCTGTGAAGTGCTTTGAGACGTCTCGAAGACATGATAAGGCGCAAATGCAAGGATTATTGTTATCATATTCTGATCATAAGACCTCACCCAAAACATCTTTCTCTTCCAGATTTGATCAATTTACTGTGCACTTAAACATTTTATAATTTGAGCAATTTACCATATGGACACGGCTGTTTCTTGTGTTCTGGTAAAACAGGTCGCTTCCGCAGAAAGTTATCTAAGCTAGGCCCATGGCGGCCCAAAGGGTCATCGGGTGGCATAAACCTAAAATTTTAAATATTAAACATCAAGTAAAATATATACATACAATAAACATCATGAGAAAACAATATCCATATTACTTCATAAAGTTATTAGCCCTATACCCAATGCATGACCAAGAATGCTTTTATTCACCTATAAAATAGCAAGTCTCTGTCCCTACCTCATCTCCAGACTTGATTTCTCTAACGATCTTCTGCTTGACCCTCCTAATCGGGCCCTCATAAACTGAAGTTTATTTAGAACTCTGAGCCCATTATCCTCATCTATTTCCTTGCAGATTGATTTCAGGTCATTTCTGACATCAGAACAACTGCCCATCCTACCTGAGAACTCCCCCATTTCACTTCTTTGCTCACTCTCTGCTTCAAACATTCTGGCCTGCTGAATGTCCCACTCCCCCTCATCATATGTGTCAACTATCAACAATTAACATTCAGGTTACATTTAACTCCAAAACCCAAGAAAAATCAGATTACTCACTTGTCATTTACAAATGAATACATAAGTAAACGCTCATCTATAAATTTTTTCCATTCTGGCTTCTCATTCTGCAAGTCCCTGTAGTTATCATTTGATACAATTATACCATCCGATTCATAAGCCAATTTCACTATGAAGCGATCATCATAACAAACTACTCTTCGTCCTTGAACTCGACGGGATGGTGTGAAGACAAGAATCTTCTCCTTTTCCAACTTGCGCAGGATTTCTTGATCTGTGCACAAAAAAATCACTTGGTTGATTAAAACCATTGGTATAATACTTTTTTAATTTTCACAATATAATTTCCTGTTTGAGGGTACAATTTTTTATGTCTGAGAATACTGAACTTCTAAAGTTACTTCTGGTGTCCCAAGTTTACAACTAGATTGATAAGAATCATACAGCACAGAGGGAGGGCATTCGGCCCACTGTGTCTGTGTCGGCTCTTTGATGGAGCTATCCAACTAGTCCCACTCCCCTGCTTCTAACTCATAGCCCTCCAATTTTTTTCTTTTCAAGTACTTATCCAAATCCCTTCATAACTATGTTTTTTTTAAACCAAAGTTCTTTTGAATTGCCTCGTGCAGTTAAAGCCAGCATGGGCACAGGACATAGACATGGCGATAGAGGTGATTTACAAGTATGTACTCAGGCCTCATAGTAAAGAATTACATGATGGCTTACATTTCTGTTAAGGAATTAATGCAGGGAAATTACCAGCTCTTCACTTTTATATAGAAAATGTATCTAACCTCAGGAGTCTTCCTCATTCTGTGCATCAGCTGACCCTTCACATACAACAACAAAATTACATTTGTAAAGCGCCTCTCATGCAGTAAACCACAGTAGCCTTGTCATATTGTTTTTTTGGAGGGGAGGAGGGAGGAGGTGAAGGAAATTGCTGGTTATCAGGAGGAGAAATTCCATCTGGGTCGAGATTTACTCTTAACAGAATCCATTTTGTTTGATTTTCAGCAGCAGTGCACATGCCTTTGGTACTAACAACCTCCCAGGCAGCTTGCTCATGCTGAACCAGGTGGTGCACAATGTTGGTGTTCTGCTTGACGTTGACCTGAATTTCAAACCTCACACCAGATCGATCACCGAGATTGCCTTGTTCCACTTCCAGGATATAGCCGCTGGAACTCTTACCTCACCTTCAGCATTGTTGAAACCCTCATCCTTCCCTCATGCTGCATTTTTCCAATACTCTCCTCCCCAGCGCTGTTATTACTGTAGCAAACATTCTAATTAGCAACATTTACTTTCATGACCAGTCTCACCAACTGATTATTTATTGTATGATACCTGTGATGAGGGCATCTGGCCTAGACTGTTCCTTCCTCCAGGCAGGCACAAACACAGTAATATCTTTGTGGCCTCTTTCCAAAAACCAGTCCACTGCTAGTTTAATCCCTCGGCAGGAAAACACTTCCTTGTTACCATGACTGTAATAGAAATAAAATGTCACTTAAATGTCACTTAATCTTTGGAACCAGTGGAATTAGTGTGTGGATAGCTCTCCATCAAAAACTCTCCAGCAGGCAAAAGGTGAAATTAGGTAACAATCAGGAAGAGGCTTACTTAAGCAAACAAATAATAGAGTAATGCATTTAAAACATTCATAGAAAATAATTAGTAATGGTAATGGCATTCATCTTTAGATTATAAAGTGAGATTCCAAGTAATTCACTTAATTTTATTGGTGTAAAACTAAATTTTGATCTTTAAAATACTGAGAGGCAAACGTAAGGTAGGAATACATTTGACTTAGATTTATTATAGAATCAGGGCCAAGAGTACAAAAGTGAGAAATATTAATCCATCAAACAATGTTTCAGGGACAGAAGACTGCACTGTATGTTGAGACTTCGATCAAGACCCAGTTAGTGGATATCAGAACACAACCATAAAAACAAGCTTTTGAAATGTGGTTAAAAAATGATACTTTTCCTAGTAAGAACGTGATAGAATTTGTATCCTCAATTCTCCACCTTATCCTTGATTTTTCAACACACAGCATAACAAGATAGTGACTAAGCTTCTGTGGCGCAAGAGAGGGAGGTAAGTAGGGTGTTCTTAGAGCTGAATTGGCTCTAAGGTGACGGATTTTGTAATGAAATGTCAGAATTGTGTCAATTTGTGGGTGGTCTCAGTAGCTCGTTTCCTGAGCCAGGCAGGTCCACAGTAATCCAAACATGCTGTCAACAGACCAGCTGGTCTGGCCTGTTTATCTCCAAGGTACCTGGAGGCAGAGAATCTTCCCACTCACTTCCTGTTAACCTTGGAACACAAAGCTCTAATGGGTAAGGTGGTCCTCGCTGGACAAGAGCAGGACGCTTGCCAGATAGTGTTCTCAGTGGCAAGTTATACAATTTCCAGTAGTATCCCAACACACTCAAGGGGCCCCAATGTTGGCTCTAGCCGACCTGCCTCTGCTGTTAGCTAAGTATATGGTGGTAAGTAAGAGTAGGCGCTCCACTCCAGTCACAGTGACATTTCCAGGTGTAGATAAGATACATATGTGGAAATCTCAGTTGGTTTGGATACTCTTAAGTATGGTGAAGTTCCTGCTCGTGTCAGACACCCAGCTGACTGAAAAAAAACTACTACTATATTGCTTACCATATCAACCTGTCCGCTCCCTCCATTTAGCAAGCTATGGCTTGCTCCACGTTTCCCTGCCCGGCCCGACCCACCATCGTTGGTCGGGCTTTCAGCCTCTCTGCCCCCACCCTTTAGAACTCCACCCCACATTCCCTTTGCCTCGCTCCCTCCCTTTCCTCCTTGAAGGCCCGTCTCAAGACCCTCCTCTTCCCTCCGCCTTCCCTCACCCTCCTAACCCTACTCTCCCTGCCCGCCACCCCTGCAGATCCCAATCCCCTGCTTGGGTCCAAATCCCTGACTGTCAAGCATTTTTGGACGTCCTCCTGACGTGAAGGGTGCTATACAAATGTAATTTGTTGATGTTGTGGTTTTTGGCAAAGTGTACTTTCAGTATTAAATACAAAGGTATTAACTGATCAATGATTGCAACAGAGATGCCACACAAATAAGAACTGACATCTCAACAACATAGGCCTGGAATAGATTGAACATTTTAATCTTATGAGCCATTAGGTGCAGGTATGGAAGCCTGCACGTGTTTAGAGTTGTTGGGTCATACCTTGAGGGGAGGCACCGGAGTCACAGATCAACTCCATTTGTGATAGTTTTGAATGTTTCCATACTTTTACAATGTTTAAATCCTAACTATTCTTTGGGGGATAATGTTAAAAAGTTGGGCACAGTGCCTTACCCTTAGGAAAGAAACTAACTAAAGAGGCATAAGGAAGCTGTCTTATTAATACCAGCTAATCTTGCCCACACCTCATGTACATAGAGTATTTGCACACGTGTCCAACAAGGATTACAGAGAGATCAGGCGTTTTTTCCCCTCTAGTCTAAAGGGCTATTGTAGCTTTCCTACTTTAATCATCTAACTGAACATAGTTCAAGGTTGTTCCAATGAATATACATTACTGTAATTTAAAAATAATTAAAAAATAATCCTTGCATTCAGTATATAGTCTTAACAACAACAACAAAATTACATTTATAGAGCGCCTTTCACGTCGGGTGGACGCCCCAAAGCGCTGAACAGTCAGGTGTCGGGGCCCGAGCATCAAGGGGGGGTGGGGTAGGAGTGAAGGAAGACAGAGAGGTGGGAGGGCGACCAAAGGCACGGTCGAAGAGAAGGATCTTGAGACTGGCCTTGAGGATGCGAGGGAGAAAGCGAGGCAAAGGGGCCGTGGGATGGAGTTCCAGAGTGTGGGGGCAGAGAGGCTGAAAGCTTGGCCACCAATGGTAGGACGGGTTGGGCGGGAGACATGAAGCAGACCGGAACCCGCTGAACAGAGGGATCGGGCAGGTTGGTAGGGAGTCAACAGGTCAAGAGAAGCAACAGGGGGCAAGGCTATGGATGGCCTTGAAAGTGATGACAAACTCGATCCTCTGTGGGACGGGGAGCCAGTGGAGTCGGGCAAGGGTGGGAGTGATGGGGGAGTGGAGTTTGGTGCGGGTGCGAATACGGGCAGCAAAATTTTGAATAATCTGGATTTTATGGATGGTAGTGGAGGGGAGACTGGCGAGGAGGGCATTTGTATAGTCTAGCCGATAGGTGACAAAGGCATGGACCAGGGTTTCAGTGGCTTTTGGGGAGAGGTATTGGCGGAGACGGGTGATCCGTCGGAAGTGGAAGAAAGCGGTGCTGGTGAGGGACTGGATGTGGGGGAGGAAGGATAATTGGGGGTCGAACCTGACGCCTAGGTTGCGTACGGGTTCGGAGCGTTTTAGGGGGAGGTCGGGTTAGGTGGAGGAGGTGAGAGCCGTGAGATTTTAGACGTTGACAAGAGCCAAAGAGTATGGCTTCCTTTTTGTCAACATTCAGCTGAAGGAAGTTTGCGGTCATCCAGCCTCTGAGATCTGACAGGCAGGCTGACAAAACATCAGGGGACTGGGGGTCGCAAAGAGCGGTGGAAAAATAAAGTTGGGTGGACATGTGGAAATGTACCCCATGTCTGCGGATGACATCCCTAAGAGGCAGCATGTAGATCAGAAAGAGGAGGGGGCCAAGGATGGATCCTTGGGGGACCCTGCAGCTGACCGGGTGAGACCGGGAGGAGAAGCCGTTTGTGCAGATGTCCTGTGGTTTGTGAGGTAGGACTCAAACCAGGCGAGTGCAGTCCCACTGAGGTGGATGATGGAGGAAAGGCGGTGGAGGAGGATGGCGTAATCAACTGTGTCGAATGCGGCGGAGAGGTCCAGGGGGACAAAGAGTCAGAAGGAGCTCTGGTCACAGATAGAGAGGATGTCGTTTTGACTTTCACAAGCGCAATCTCGGTACTGTGGGCAGGGCAGAAACTGGACCGGAGGGGTTCGAAGAGGGAATGGGAGGAGAGGTGAGGTTGAGTGTGCAGCCATGGAGGCTGATGCTTCCAGCACCCGAGGTGCGGAGGCGCTGGCAAGAACCAATCAAGAGGGCCTCGGTCTTGCTGACATTGAGTTGGAGAAAGTTGTCCCTTGTCCAGGACTTGACGTCGGACAGGCAGTTGGTCAGGCCAGTAGTCCTGGAGTTGAGGGTGGAGGCAGAGGGATAGAGTTGGATGTCATCCGCACACATGTGGAGATTTACCCCATGCCGGCGGATGATGTCACCAAGTGGGAGCATGTCAAGGGTGAAAAGGAGGGAACCGAGGACAGAGCCCTGAGGAACACCGCACGAGACGGTGCGGGGGCTGGAGGAGAAGCTGTTTGCTGCGACAAAGTGGAGGCGGTGTGAAAGGTAGGACCTGAACCAGTCAAGGTCAGAACTTTGAAGGCTGAGGTGGGAGGAGAGGCGGTGAAGGAGGATTGAGTGGTCCACGGTGTCAAAGGCAGCGGAGGGGTCAAGGGGGACAAGGAGACAGAGGGAGCCCTGGTTGCACATGATCAGGATGTCATTTGTGACCTTGACCAGAGCAGTTCCCGTGCTGTGGGCAGCACGAAAACCCGATTGGAGGGGTTCATGGAGGGAGTGGAAGGAGAGGAAAGAGCGAAGCTGGGAGGCAACGGCTCTTTCAAGGACGTTGGATAGGAAAGAGAGTTTGAGATGGGCCGGTAGCCAGGATAACTGTGATGGGTCAAGGGAAGGTTTCTTCAAGGTGGGGGTGATAATGACTGTTTTGAGGGGGGAAGGAACAGTGCCAGATGGCAGGGAGAGGTTGATGATGTTGATGATTTTTAACACATCAGTACACTTCAAACACTTCACATTTTTATACTGTGAAATGGAGTACTTGTAGGCAAACGCAGCAAAACAGCGCACAGCAATATCCCTCTAACAGCCATGAAAAAAGTGACAATTTTATTTTGTGAATTGTTGGCCAGGACACCAAGAGAAACTCCCTTTCCTTTTCGAACAATGCCTTGGGGTCTTTAATATCCACCTGAACAGGCAGACCTCAGTTTAACGTCTCATCTGAAGGATGGAGTTGAGAGTCCAGTGTTCTTTTGCTAGGGGGAAGAACTGAAGCGAAAGAACATATAATCTGCACACTTACCTCATTGCCACGTTACTGCCATCAATGACCATAGGTTTTAAGTTATCACTATCATCCGCTAGATCTTCCACAGGAGAATCAGACCTTTGCGAATCTGTTGAGGTCATATCTCGTGGAGTTACAGTCCCAGAGTTACCAGTTCCACATGAGGCAAGATCAGAGTCAAGTTTGTTCCCCAATTTAACAAGTTCACCCAGTATGTCATTTGGTAAAGCATCTGTCCCTAATTTGTTCAGGACAAGCTGTACTTGTTCTTCTGAATATCCTAACTTCAGTGCAAACTCCATTTTAGTTTGATAATCTTTGTCTTCATCTGTGGATTTCAAATCTTCCTTTGGTTTTGTTTGAGCATCAGTTTTCATATCCTGCAGAATCGCATTGCATTTTAGTAAATTGGACTCCAAACCAGGTGACCTACAGAGCTGTCGGTGGGTTCTGTTTACTGCAGCAGTCTCTAGAATGGCAGATCCCAAATGCTCAGATTCACTGTCTGAACTTGTGCCGTCTGTGCTTTGCATTGCCCATTCCCTAACATTCTCCATACTAGAGTAGATTTTATCCAATGTGGTTGATTCCACCATTGGCCAAGGTGTAATCACACTTAGCGGTTTGTCAGTGTTCTCCACATTGAGAGGCTCTCGACCCGGAACAGTGTCGTTCTCATGCACGGAGTGATCCTTCAAGCCCATGAATTTGTTGCATATGTTGGTTTTCAATCCTGCAGCATTACTTTTTTGGACACACAGCTGGCTGTATTTCTAGAAGGGGATAAAAAGTTAGAACAGTTGTCACTAATTGTGCATTAAATTGTTAAGAGACATAAATGAGCAAATAATTCTTAAAATTAGGATACGTTTTTGAAAGAGAAGTTTTATTTTCTGATTAACCAAGCTGATTAACATGAGCTGTAATTTTAAAAGTAAACTACAAACTGCAGGAAGTTTGTTGGCAATGCTTGGAATAAAAATAATCCTTATATTTGATTTAGTGCCTTTCACGTTGGGTGAACGTCTCAAAGCGCTTCACAGGATATACTATAAAGTAACTGTGTATTTTGTATGCCAACATAGCAGCCAATTTGCACACACAATGTTTTTTAATGTCCATCTGAACAGGCAGATGGGACCTCAGTTTAATGTCTCATATCCAACAATGCAGCACAGTCCCAGCACTGTCATGGAATGTCAGCCTCGAGTCTATATAAATTTCAAGCACAAAGGAGGTAACTGACCATAGACACAGTCAAAGAGATAGGTTTTTAAATGGATTTTGAAGATAGATGGAGGGGTTGAGGGATGGAGTTGCAGGTGGCGGGGTCTTAGTGGCTGGAGGATGAAGGTGGAGGACATGCAACAGGCCTGAGTAGACCGAGTACAGGGGATGAGAAGAGTCCGAAGAAGATCACAGAGGTAAGGAAGTGTTAGAGTGTGAAGAATTTGTAGGTGAGAATGCGAATTTTGAAGTTGATCCTTAGTGAGCAAATTGGCCAGTGGAGCCTGGTAAGAACAGGGTGATAAACGTACTATGTTTTGTTGTGTGGGTAAGGGTACAGGCAGCAGAGTTTGGGATAAGATGATGCTGTCAGATGGTAGAGCTGAAAAGTTTGGCATTTAAGTTATCGAGTCTGGAGGTGAGGGTCTGTACTGTGTGTTCAGAAAAAACTTTCAAAACTAGAACTGCAATATTTGAAGCATGCTTAGGGACACAATGAACAAATATATATTGTTTTAAACAATAAGATGTTCTTGTGACTAAATACGAGATTAATAAACTAATAAAAGGGCATGCAGGTAATATAGGAAAATATTGTTATAGAGTGGTTAACAGGGTCCAATATGTCAGCGGCTGCATTATAAACAAGACCTGGAAAAATGGCCAACTTGTCAGGTCATCACTGACGTCACTTCTCAACAACAACAACAAAATTACATTTATAGAGCACCTTTCACATCGGGAGGACGTCCCAAAGTGCTGAACAGTTAGGTGTCGGGGCCCGAGCATGGGGGAGGGGTGGTGTAGGGGTGAGGGAAGGCAGAGGTGGGAGGGAGACCAAAGGCACAGTCGAAGAGAAAGAAGCGCCACTGGTGTCACTTCTCGTGCAGGAAGTGACACTAGTGGTGCTTCCTGTGCTAGAAACACATATGCACACCAAAAATGACATCAACTTTAACCTGCTGACCTGGAAGCCGTTAGCTAGTTATTGCCGGAAGCTGGATGTAATGCACTTCCAGTTAGCTCAAGCTCACAGTAAACCCACACTAAGTGAGGCAGAACTATATCAAAGGGCGCTATAATAGGGTTCCCGTATATTTATACACTATGAAGAACGCGTTTATTCTCCTTGGAATTTGTAGATCTTGAAACAATCAATACCTACTCTATACAATACCGTGACCGAATATCTGAATCCATATCCACTGCATGGATCGTATTCATTGACTACAAAACAGTGATGAACATAGGCAAAATGGGCTGAATTATCTCCTCTTTGTTAAGGTTCTATATGTATTTGGATAGGGATATGGATATTATAACAACTTACATTTATATAGCAACTTATATGAAATAGCAGCCAATCTGCATTACATGTGCTTCAATCTTCATCTTCCAATCCAAATTTTGAAAAAGTCTACAAAACCATCTTTGATTATGGTATTAAAACCAGAGCTTTAAATACTGCACATGCACAGAAATAATCTTTTTACACAAAGGTATAGTGCATTAAGAACACGGGGTCCAATAAACATCATACACATCACTCTCTGCAAGGATACTTTCTATTCAAATATAGAATTTAAAGTAGATTCAATTTCAATCTGTCTAACAAAATTAAGATGAAGACTGAATATGAAGACAAAGATGAACCATAAATGACCATAAAAAGCATTCAACAACATTTTGATAGTGAGCTATCAAACCTAAGATCTGGTGATATAATTTAGAAGTAAAATTTGTTTGCCACTATATACACACATGAAGTTTTTACTTTTATCTAAAGGGGAAATGTTGGCTTCACCGCTCTCCTGTCCATTACAGATAATGTGTTCCACGAGATCTAAAGTTATTACAAACTTGTACTTGTAGCCTAGTTCTGCAATTTTCAAAGCATGCTAATATTTAAAAACTACTCTGAAATCAAATGCATATCTTAAAATATACCTGATAACAAAAGGACATTCACTGTACATACTTTCAGGTTTGATAGTATTGTCAAAATATTAGATAATATACATTTTCACTTAAAGAAAATCGTGTATTTATTCAAGAGTTTAATCTGGTGACCCACTTAGAATGACTTCAACAATACCACAATGTGTTGCACGTCTTCCTGTTTACAGCCAAATGAACTTCATGTTCAGCATTTAACTTGTGCTAAAAGAAGCTGTTCATTTCCTTCACCAAAAAACGCTGCACTTTTTCACGGAAATTCAATTCACCAAAATATTTTAGCTAAATGTTATCAAAAGCAGTACTATAAGTAATACAGAAAAGTTTGCGATGCTTTCCATTGCATCTGCAATGCACATCTGAAGCACACATCAGTTTGTCTGACTCGATAATCTATGATGTGATTGTGATGAATCAGAGAACAACCACATGGCTACTTAGCTGCTTTAATATTTTAAGGCAGATTTTTTGTAGATTTTTTAACTTGATTCAAACTTAAGCAAACTCCTCACTGGCGCATACAAACTTTGTTAGAAACTCAAGTACTGTATGCTATAGAACTATTTTCTCACATTATACACAGAATTATAACTTGTTCTGTTTAAAGATGCAGCACTAAGCAGCTCAATAATACAGTAGGTTGGTACATCAATCTACTGCTCCAGAAGTATCAAAATTCCTAATTTCTAAGTGTCATGGGGAATATTTATATCTACAGGATGCCCTAAGTGAAAACAACAACTTGCCCTTCACAAGCGCTCCCCTCAAGTTCATAGTCCAGACTAGGTTAAAACTGAGGTGAGGAAGCATTCCCTCACATAGAGGGTTATAAAGCTGTGGGATAGTCTGCCCCAGAAAACTATCGAAAGGATTGGGATTGAGAGATCTGCTAAAATCTATAAAACTGGTGGAACAGGCTTGATGGATTGAATGACCTCCTGCTTTCCTAACACTTTGAATGCAGTACTAGGGGAGGGGAGTGCTACATTGTGCCATCCTATAATGTCATCAAATTTCTGGTGGTCATGGGGGGAGGGGGGGAGAAAAGAGAAAGAGGTTCCTCTTAGCAATGATCAGAAGAGAGGCATGGTAGTCAACAGCTAAATAAAATTAGCAAATTAGCAGGAGGAATCATGGATAGGACACGAGTACCCATTTAACAAACCAGTTATACTCTAATAACAAGATAGAGTTGGTATTCTGGAAGGACAAGGTCAAATAAACCAAAAAAAGGTTTATTCTTCAAAACCGCTCCAACTTGCTCTTCACAACTCTGAAGGTTGTCCTGCTACCTTGGCTTATCTCAAAATATTGTTTACTTTCTCCATCCTGTCAAGCTTTTCATAGTTTATCGGGTGTTACCTACTGGAACTTAGATGGTAAGGCACACTTCTGTGCAGAACCTAGGGTCTGGGAGATCTAGGGTTTGTCTACATCTACAAAAATGCCCTGTTGACATACTTGTGAATTTTCAGTGAATATACTAGATACATTAAGACATTCTGATATGATTATAGCAGGTTCCACACTTCTATGATAGAAAACTAAGACAACATAGATCCCTAGGAAATATCCATGACCGTTAATGCAGGTTTTAAAACTGGACGGAAGCAATGAATTAAATAAATACCAACATAAACGTTTAGCAAAACCACCCAAAAGATACAATCAAAGCTTCATAAACAACAGTCGCTTGATCAAGATGGAACATTGCTGGTTCTAAAGTTAAACACTGCCATTAACCCATAAGTAATCCTGAACATGCTACACTCCAGTTCCTATAGTTAATCTCATGAACTGAAGTGTCATCAGACATCATCTACAGTGTCCAAAGCAGGCACAAGGTGTATATGTAGGTGAGTGGTATGTTTGTGATTGTGTGTGTATGTCTGTGTATGAATGTGTGCCTTCTAATTAGATATTGACCACCTGACCCATTTAGTTGATCTCAGGTAGGAGGCAGTAATGTGGTACAATTTTCCTCATCGCCCCATGTAGTGGAGGAAAACGAGTTTCAATCCTAATTGCTCGCCAGTGACCTCTGTGAGTAGTTTTTATGTGAGAACGTGGGGTAAGGGGAGAACTGAGCTTGGCTGTGATGCTCTAAGATTGAAACGCCTTCTGACAGACTCATATATGAAGACTAACCACTTGTGTAAGGAACCATTGGTGGGCAGTTTTCATAGGAACTTCGATTATCTACCAATTTCAAATTATCAACTAGGCAGATCCCCAATAATATTGGGATTAGAGTTTTATTGTACCATAAACAAGCATCAAAAAGTGGATGCATTCTCTCATTTACAGTTACTCTAGATTTGAGTACAGTATATTTTAATAAATAGAGATCATCTAACTGGAAGAAAGCCATCACCCACTCTGTGCACCCAGTACAAAACTGTAGAAGAACGATTAACCTATTGGGAAATGTGCTGCTAAGCAACAGCACTCAGTTGCTAGGATGCAATGCTTCCACATACTATCGTGAATGCAGTTATACTGAATGAAAAATTTTGTACGAACAAAGGCCAAAAAGTGGCAGAAGCTCGAGTGTGTCTAGTTTGCCCTTATAGAACAATGCAACTGCCAAACAAATCATGGATCACCGACATCATTGGCTTATAAATTGCAGTCTGCCACAAATGGTGAAGTTATTTAATAGGTAGTATTTATCTCTTTAATGATGTTGCATACAGTACACCAAATCCTTAGAAAATAATTTAAGAAATTTATTTTAGTCAAGCACATGTACTGTTGACCTAGTATTATTCATCTGAGCTCATTGTGACTTAGACTACTATATAGCAAGGAGTAAATGACAGGAGTAACGACTGCAAAAAGCCATTTGAAGTAGAAATACCTAAAGGTTTTCATCCAATCCCTCTGCTACCAAGGAATAAAGATCAATGTAAACATCTCAATCTGAGCACACATTTATGAATACAATTTTAGAATTAAGCTACCTGTATGAGTCATGGAAAACATCTTCACCACACTACCTTTCTGCATTTGGTTGCATTCCCCCCTCCACACACACACACACACTCCTCTCTCCAAACACCTTCCACTTAAGTTTATTATAGCGCTCTATTTTATTGTAAATAAAGTTGGGTCACTACAATATACTGTACTAAAGTCATACATTCGTCAAACCTCATTAGGAATCAACTGAAGGTACATGAATGTCAATTGTTCAACTGCTCCAGAAAGAAAAGATAACAAAGAGCTTTAAAGCAATCACTGGTACACATACCATCGGTAGTGTACACTACAGTATTCATTAAATGGTACTGAAAACAAATCCCAATACTGTACCCTTTAGTGGTGAAGGAACAACCATAATTACTCTTTTATCTGCTTCCTTTGTGATGATGTTGCAAGTTAAACATGAGGAAACGCAGATGCAGTCACAAATATGATTGAATAGTTGGTTACCTTTTACCTATCACGTACCGCAGTTTGGATAATCAGGAATATCATGAAAATGCATCCCATTAGCAAAGAACAAAGCCACAAAAACTGTAGCTATTGCTTCCTTTATAACACAGGTCTGTAGCCTAAGATCAATTTCAATGGAAAACAAATTGGCAAATATACATGCAAGCAAAGGGTTTAAATTACCATTAAATTGAACAATACTGTGTTATTCCTTTTGGCTAAAAAGTATTCCTCCTTGTGTTAGAGATACTTCAGAAATAGTTTGGAGACACGTTACCCATCTCCAAGCATCATAAAGTAATTGAATTATATATTCCCTATATGTAACTAAAATTTAGACTAACAATGTTGCTTTTCACATATATATGCTTCCATAATCTCTGTGATCCAGTTTAAAGATATATGTGATCTCAGGAACAAAATACTCAAAGATCACCAAAGCTCTTTTTGCCTAGATAAATAGACCATTAACCTAAATACATGGATTAAAATAAACAAACCACTATATGAATCATTAACATAGGAATCAATGTGGATGTTAGTAGTATTTGACTAATGCTCTTATATATAAAAGTTAGCCTAGTTGCCAATATCTGTTAATGCCTGGTTCAAAGTCCTCTGGTACATTTCTTTGTCTACTGAAGCAGAATGCTTTTGTAAAACAGCATTGCACATTTCTACTAAGACATACCTCATGCTGTGCCATTGCTACCATCAAATTATTATTATTTCAAGTCTAGAAAAACTCTAGAAATACTGTACCTACAATTTTTGATACTGAAAAATGCTTTTGCCCAACGAAATGTACCATAAAAGAATTATAGAGTACACAACAGACTAGTTAATGTACAAGGATCACCAGATGTCCACGGGAACAGCAGAAGACAAGCAACTGGTGGTCTGCTCATCTACTGAAAAGTTTGCATTAATTGCTGTATGTGTTGACACAATAGAAATGCATTTAACCCCTTCCTGAATAAAACCACACTCTATTAAGATTTGAACAGATCTTTCCACCACCACCACCAATTTACATACAAATTTATATCAAGGCAACCAAATTTTCAACCAGAGATCAATAAAAATAAGCAACAACCAAATGCAAAGTAACGACCCAAAGATTTTTTGTCTTACAACAAACTGCATTCTTATAAGTACTACACAAAAACTAATGTACTACATTTAAAACATACAACTCGTAGAATAAACAATTTTTTGCAGTAGAAATTGTTGGTCAACAATGGAAATACTTACATTTTTCTTCCCTCGTTTATTTGCTGTACTTTTTTATTTTTTTTACAAATGCTAATCATATTGCAACTATAAAATTGTGCACTATACCAGCTTTTTTTTCCAAATACACCATCACCTTGTACTGTAGGCTGCAGTTCAATACCAACTGCAACTTCGAGAAGTTGTCTACATTTGTCAGCACAAATTCTTGACCACACAAGTCCTCAGACCTCAGGTTACTTACTACCTGAACTTGAGAACAGTCCTATCACAACAAAATGCTTTTTAAAATAACGAATTACAATCCTGATTTTAGTTATTTCCAGCACTTACATTAGCTGAAAGGCAGACAGACATTGGATTCTACGTTGCAGTTAACCAAAATCTCCTAATACAGTTTGAGCTGCAGACGTCCAGGCCGGCGGGAGAACAATGAATCACTGAACAGATGGGCCAACAATGTCTATGCTTTCCCCATTACCAAAGCACATTCCTAACCAATGAGAGCTCACCCAGTTCACAATTAGTTTCTGAGGCAGATGCAAACCAACTTCCATCTCACGTCAGGTCTCTGGGCCTCTTAAGACAAGCATGCTGATGTCACCCAAGGTCTGCCTTGGGCATCATGTGTATTAACAAGGGGTGTGCAGCAACAATACCCGCAACAAAGAAGACTAGCAGGCAGCTGCTGAATGAGGGCATGAGTCATTAAGCAGCAGGCTGTCAGGAAAAACACCTGGCTAGCCTTAGACTTCACCAAAACCCCGTTGTTACTTACTATTCAATGAAAATACTAGCGTACTCCAACATAAGAAACACTTGCATGGCTAGATCTCGTTCTTATTTAAACATTAAATCTTTTATTTATTGCTGTGGTTACATAAATGCTACAAAAAGAATCAGTGGTACACAAACAACAAAATTCTTGTGTGATCTCCATTTACAACGTCTTGGCCGGCTTACAAGATAAGAACTTTTTTTTCTTTTAAAGAAATGATATCAAACAGGCAAAATGCATAATGTTCTCAGGCAACATAGATAAAGTAATAAAATCACCCTACAAATCCTTCAAATCTTACTTAACAGATAGACATAATAAGCAAACTATAATCTTCATTTTGAAGAGCCACTGGTGTTTCAAACAAACTCCATGATTTAATCAAGAAAGGTTAATATCTGGAAACATTTTTCCAGCATGAAACTGAAATGGTAATTATTATTTTAGAAACTTGTCGGAATTGTTCTGCACACTATTAGCTTTTTTCAAATCAAATTAAAGGGTACTTAAGAAGTTTGTGCACTGTTTGAAAGCACTCGGGGATCCCAAAACTTCAGAAACAAAGGGACACAAACAAAGACTGCTGAAAATTTCAGGTTCTTTTTAAATGATTTGATACAAGTCAATGATTTGATGTCAAAACCATATTTTTGTTTTTTAATACAATTTTCTCAATTTGTTTGATGCAAGAAATATCCAAAACGGCCAGAAAGAAAAACTGATTTTGAATGACAGCAATTGAACAGGGTTTAAATAGGGTTCACTCATATCAGTAAATAACAGTATAATAATACTTACATATATAGCACCTTTCATAACAAAAGGACATCACAAAGCATTTCACAAGATTTACTGTAAAGTGTAATGACTGTATTTTGTAGGCAAATTCAGTGGCTGTTTGTGAAATTCACGCACAGCAATGTTCCAAACAGCCATGAAGTGAATGACCAATTTTATTTGGGAACTGTTGGCCAGGGTCTCGGTAAACCTGTCACCAGGAGGATGCCACTTCCAACATTGCTGTACTTCTGCATCAGCCTAGATTGCATAAGTTCAAAGTCCTAGTAATTTTATCTCAATATTAAGAAAATATCAAATTTTTGGATGAGGTAAATTGTTGGGAAAAATAGCTACTGAATATTTATTGAGAACATAGGTGGCGTGTGCAGTACACATTTAAAGTTGAAAATAGTAGGAAGGTCCTTTGCAAACGTCGTCAAGATTAAAGAATGCAGTTACAATAATAATAATAGTTACTTCACTGGCAAATGTAGACAGATCAGGGGAGTGAAAGCCATATTTACACCAGAAAAAAAGTAAACAATTCTCTAAAGATTACAAGGGCATATTGTTGACATTATTATGTCAATCAACAACTCATATTCAGGTTTACACCAGAATAGTCTGATCCAGGAAGAGTTGCATGGCGCCAACAGTTCAATTTGATTCAAGACGTACTGTTTATGGCACAGTAAAAGCTAACCTCCACCACCAACACTAGTGAATAAGATATACTGTACTAGTTTTAGATTCTGGTAATGCTGGCATATCATTTTGTAAAACATGTAATAATGTTGCAATCCATAATCATCCTGTGTGAACAATAGGCAAAACACATTAAGGACATCAGGCATTACTGAAAAAAAAGCTTCAACCAAATCGCCCCACAAAAATGATATACGCATATAATTATAATCTAATCAAGGCATTCAGAAACAAATCATTAATTGTTCTAGCTTTACCAATGCAATTCAGCATATCATCCCAAATCCTCAATTAGATGACGGCCGGCCTTCTAATCCCTCCCAAGCATTCGTTATTGTCCTTATTTGAAAGAAGGGGGGAGTTTTGTGGATTTCAAGCAGCGTTTCAACTACAACACAAGGGTTGGCATTTTACATATATAAAAATGGAGCAGACTGCAGCTGCACATTCCTGCTCGCCTGTGGAATGACCCTATTTGCCTGGCACCACATGGTATAGGAACAGATGTGACAGGCTCTGTGCCTGTATCATGTCTCCCATTTTGGCTGATCTGAGAAGAGGTAGAGACAGGATTGCACCAACAAACTTCAAAATCTTCATTAAGAATAGTAACTTTCAAAAAAAAATTTAAACAAACATTTTTGAAAATGAGGTAGTGTTTAAATATAAATTTTAAAAAGATTTCAAAAACATAATACGAATGAAGTTTCCTTTTCAAGTAATAATAATAATCCTTGCATATAACACCTTATCACATCTTCAATGCGTCTCAAAGTGCTTCACAAAATATACTGTAAAGTGAACTGACTCTATATTTTGTGGGCGAAATGCAGCAGTCAGTTGCGCACAGCAGTGTCCCACAAACAGTCGTGGATTCAGTGATCAAAGTATTATTTTTTTGAAAGAATTATTACCCCCGGAAAAGCGATCCGCCAATCAACTAACAACTGGGTTCCTACTTACTGGTAGGTAAACAGAGACGTGTGGAGTAAAGAAACTTGCCCAACATTTCGCCCAGCTGGGAATCGAACCTGCTCTAAGCAACAGGACTCCACAAGCCCTACGTCAGGACTTTGAACTCAAGAGTGGGGGCTAACTCTACATTGTTACAGGTGATGGCCTTTGGATCAGACATTAAACTGAGTTCCTGGCTGTCTGTGTGCAAAATTGGCTGCCGCATTCAACTACAAATATAGTCACAACACTTCACAGTAATATCCTGTGATATGCTTGGAGACATCTCAATGCTAAGATGCTTTATCAAATGTGCAAATTCGTATTATATACCACCTTATCACAATGTCACCTGGCTCCATTGGCTCCCTATCCCCCAGTGGATCAATTTTAAGATCTTCATCCTCACCTTCAAATGGCTTCACTCCATTTTTCTGCTCTCTATCTATCTTGAAATTCCGCCTTAAATCTATCTTTAAAACTCACCTTGTCAGCCTGGCTCAGTTGGTAGCACTCTTGTTAATGATACCATGACACTATTCGAAAAGAGAAGGAAGTTTTTCCTAGCCAACAATTCCCCAAATACAATTGGTTATTCATTTCATGGCTATTTATGGGACATTGTGGTTTGCAAATTGGCTACTGCATCTGCCAACAAAACCTACAGACAACATACTGTACAGTTTATTCAGTGAAGGACTTTGAGACATCATCCCGATGTGAAGTGCACCATATCAAATGCATATTTTTACCCCCAATAGCAACAACAACTTACATTTATATAACATCCCTCATGCAGGGTAGAGTCCCAGAGTGCTTGACAGTAGTGGAGCACAAGGCCAAGCGGGGGTGAAGGGGGGGGGGGGGGGGGGAGAGAGCTACTTTTTTAACTGCACCTATACTCAGTGTCTAAGCCCACCACTGTTAAGAGCTACAACAACAACAAATTACATTTCTATATCCCCTTTCATGTCGAGAGGATGTCAAAAGCGCTGGGCAATCACGGATTTGGACCTGAGTAGGGGGTTGGGATGCGGATGGATAGAAGATAAGGAGAGTAGAGATAAGAGGCTGACCGAAGGCCCGGTCAAAGAGGAGGGTCTTGAGATGCGCCTTGAAGGAAGCAAGAGGGGAGCAAGGTGAAGGGACTGTGTGGTATCATCATCCTTGCATTTGATATAGTGCTTTTCACGTCTTCTAGACGTCTCAAAGCGCTTCACAGAATATACTTTAAAGTGAATTGACTGTATATTTGTGGGTGAAATGCGGCAGCCAATTGCACACAGCAGTGTCCTACAAACAGTCGTGGATTGAGTGACCAATTTGATTATTTTTTTCCTGAGGGATTATTATCAGGTGTGTGTAGTAAGGAAACTTGCCCAAGGTTTCTCCCTGTCGGGAATTGAACCAGGTCTCCCGCTTGCAAGGAGAGTGCTCAAACCACCGAGCTACAGGACTACGGGGATGGAGTTCCAAAGGGTGGGGGCAGAGAGGCTGAAGGCCCGACCGGTGATGGTGGGGCTAGCAAGGCAGGCGACGTGAAGCAGGCCTGCTTCGCCTGCTGAGCAGAGACTGGACAGGTCATTGTGGAGTTAGCAGGTAGGGAGGAGCAAGGTTGTGGGGGGTTTGAGGCCAAGACATTATTGCATGTGAAGAGTGTTAAATAAATATGTTGTTGATTTTCAGCAACTATACTCTGCCTTAGTCATTCCACCCGTTTCATATCCCCTACCCACTTCATCATCAACACGTGGCCACTTTGCCCCTTTTCCTCTGGAACCCTCCCAAAATTTCTCTGGACATCCTCCCGATGTGAAAGGCGCTTTACAAATGTAATTTGTTGTTGTTGTTGCCCTACCCCTTGCCAATCTGCTTTCAAATCCTACCTGGAGACCTAGCTCTTTTAATATGGTTTCAGCCATCTCCCTCTCTACATCACCTACAGATTGGCCTCCCGCTCCATCTTTGTAAAGCGCTTTAAAACATTCTTCCATGAAAAGAGCTATATAAGTGATATTTTTTGTTAATGACTGTCATTCACTTAATGGCTGTTTGTCGGACATTACTATGTGCAGAGTGGCTGCCAAATTTGCCTACAAAATACACAGTCATTACAGTCACCGACCCGCCACCCCACCGCCCGCCCATGTGAAAAGCACTATACCAAGTCTGTATATAGAAAATGTTGTCTTTCAAAGAGTTTTTCTGTGAAGTGAACGTCTTGGTAGGCAAATGCAGCAATCAACTTGTGCAACTGTGTACCACAAACAGCCTTGAAGTTAATGGCTAATATTTTACCTGGGAGATTTCTGACCAGGACAGCAGGCAAAATTCCTTTGTCTTTTCAAATAGCAAGATTGTTAATATCCACCCCTTGGACCTTGGTTTAATGGCTCATTGAAAAGATGGCACCTCTGACAATACAGCAATCCCCCTCCATTGTAGTTCTTAGCCTCTGACGTGGAAGGTTGATGGTTCAAGCCCTGTGTCCGAGACTTTGTGTTCATGCTTTTTGACGCGAGACTTGAACCTGCAAACTTAGAGGCTACCAACTGAGCAAGGCTGACACCTATAATAATAATAATCCTTGCATTGGATGCAATACCTC